ATTTGTTAAAGAGGACCAATTAATATGATTCCAGTATTCAAACTACATTATTAATTGACTGTTTGCGTTGATTAATAATAAAGGGCCAAATACTAAAAAACTGAATTATGTATGTGTATTAGACATGTGTGGTAAAAAAACTAACACCTTAAAATGATATTTCACTTCTTTTGACAAATGCTTATTTATAACAATAGAGACGTTCATTTTCATAACTTATTATTATATTGATTTCTGATTCAAATCCACATTTATTTAGAATAATTTATTAACGAACACAATTAAGTATGTAATTAATTAGTATTTGGGCGGAAATACTGGTGGTATATTTAATTAATGGTATACTCTTTTATAAAGATTTAAATAGTTTTCTTTTTGCATAGAAATGGGCTAGTAATATTATCGTTTTACTAAAAAGGATAATAGTACAAGCCTGTACATTTTGTACATTTGTTGTTTTAAAAACAACCCAAAATGTTAGATTTTATTCCATAGAAGTTTTGATCCGTTGAAGGTCTAAATTATAAGAAAATGCATTTTCTAAGATAAAACTTGAAGGGAAAGGTAAAAAGTGGTATAATACAATTTGATAGACAATTAAATTGTGCATCTGATTCTCATAAAATATACAGGGTGTTATATAAGGTTTATTACACTTAAACCTTACCGTTTTTGAAATATTTTCAATTTTGTGAAATTGCAGTATAAATTTTAAGACTTTTAGTATTATTATAGTAGTAGTATTATTTTACTTAAATAGTTTTTAATACTAAATATTTGCTGAAGTTTATTTATTGATCAGTTATTGTGTTGCAATAATAAAAATTTTACTACCTTATACAGAGTGTCTAAATATTTATTTTAAATAATTATTACCTTTAAACGGCAATAACTTGTTTAATTTAAATAGAACACCCTGTATATTTTATGAGAGTCGGATGCACAATTTAATTGTCTATCAAATTGTTTTATACCATTTTATACCTATCTCTTCAAGTTTCCGTAGAAAATGCATTTTCTTGTAATTTAGAACTCATTTATCAATATACCCATGGAATACTGACATTTTAGATTATTTTTAAAGATGTACCAAATTTTTAAAGAGTGCAAATAATAATATTGTCGATATAGTTCGTTTATTTCATTAAAAAATAAAAAAAAACTGTTTAAATATTTGTTAAAGAGGACCAATTAATGTGATTCCAGTATTCAAAATACATTAATTGACTGTTTGCGTTGATTAATAATAATTGCTCCAAATACTAAAAAAATGAATTATGTATGTGTATTAGACAGTGTGGTAAAAAACTAACACCTTAAAAATTATATTTTATTTTTTGACAAATGCTTATTTATAACAGAGACGTTCATTTTCATAACTTATTATTATATTGATTTCTGATTCAAATCCACATTTATTTAGAATAATTTATTAACGAACACAATTAAGTATGTATTTAATTAGTATCTGGTCGGAAATACTGGTGGTATATTTAATTAATATACTATTTTATAAAGATTTAAATAGTTTTCTTTTTGCATAGAAATGGGCTAGTAATATTATCGTTTTACTAAAAAGGATAATAGTACAAGCCTGTACATTTTGTACATTTGTTGTTTTAAAAACAACCCAAAATGTCAATATTCCATGGGTATATTGATAAATGAGGTCTAAATTATAAGAAAATGCATTTTCTACGAAAACTTGAAGGGAAAGGTAAAAAGTGGTATAATACAATTTGATAGACAATTAAATTGTGCATCTGATTCTCATAAAATATACAGGGTGTTCTATTTAAATTAAACAAGAAGGGCATTTATTGCCGTTTAAAGCTAGTAATGATTTAAAATAAATTTTTAGACACTCTGTATAGAGGTAGTATAATTTTTATTATTGCAACGCAATAACTGATCAATAAATAAACTTCAGTAAATATTTAGTATTAAAAACTTTGATACCCTCGGAGAAATGAAGCCTTAAAATTTATACTGCAATTTCACAAAATTGAAAATAGTTCAAAAACGCTATGGTTTAAGTGTAATAAACCTTAATCAAATATATCTTTATTTTAATCGTAGAAACTAAAAATGCAATAATATACAGGGTATGCCATTTAAAAAAATACAACTTTGATATTTTTGATTTATTTGGGACACTCTGTATCTTGGAAAAATATTTTTAAATTGTAGCTCTAATAGTCCTTCAACGAACCCAAAACTTACAATTTCTAAAAATCTAATCGTTTAGTTACAATACTCCGTGTCGTATGTGGTGAACAACCCTGTATGTAAATTAAGATTGATTGATGGTATTCAATTGTTTTCGGTCACTCTGATTTTTAAATGACACCCTCGGTATTTTTTACTTCATTTAATAGAAAATTACATTTTGAATAGAATGACATATCAACTTTTGACATTTTTCATTAAAAAAATAGCAAGTTTGATATTGTTTTTCCAATTTTAAACATAAAAACATGTTTATTGGTTTAATATAACGTCAAATTTATTTAGCTTAAGCTACATTCCGAAATTAAAAATCGTATGTTCGTGACATGTGTAATATGGCGTGGTGATGGCCACGTCTTTGTTGGGTTAGGTTAGGCATGGAAGATTTCAACGAAAATGAATGCGTCGGGTGCTGCGAAGATTATGAGAAGACGATTGAAAAAAAAAGATGATTGAATTTGTTGTGTGCGATGTCACTATAGCTCCATGAAACATGTTCTACATTTGTCGATTTGTGCCAGAGGATGTGTCTTGGTAAAAAGCAGTAAAAGTGTAATTTTTAATAGATATATGTTGTTCTAGTTAATTTTAAAAATGTTTGCAATATGTTTTTACTTTAAATAAAGACATTTAAGACTCATTAGTGCTATGTAGTCTTCATTAGTGCTATGGTAGTCTTCATTAGTGCTATGGCCATCTCCCCCGTATACTTCGGGAGAGATGGCCAACTGCATTAAATTAAGTTTTTTATTAATTATCATCTGTGATTAAAAGATAAACATTTTATCTACAACCATTTAGTTATAACGTTTTTACATCACTAGTTTTTAGTATTTCACAGTTACGTTATTATTAAACATGATTACAACACTCGTGTGACGTTAACATTCGTTGTTGCATAATTAGTGCTATGTAGTCTTCATTAGTGCTATGTAGTCTTCATTAGTGCTATGGTAGTCTTCATTAGTGCTATGGCCATCTCCCCCGTATACTTCGGGAGAGATGGCCAACTGCATTAAATTAAGTTTTTTATTAATTATCATCTGTGATTAAAAGATAAACATTTTATCTACAACCGTTTAGTTATAACGTTTTTACATCACTAGTTTTTAGTATTTCACAGTTACGTTATTATTAAACATGATTACAACACTCATGCGACGTTAACATTCGTTGTTGTATAATTATGTTCATAAACACACTTGTATTGTAAATAACTATTATAAGTCCTGCAATATAATTATAAATGCCACTAAAGTGTAGAAACCTAACTATTAACTGCATCTGCGCAATAAAGTCTAAATTATAATTTAAAATATATTGGGGTGGCCAAGTTACACCGACTTACCCTAAATAAATGCATATGGCGGATAGTCTATTTTTCGTACAAAGAAAGTGTTTATAATGTCAAGATTTAAATTAATATAGAGCCAAAAAAATATATAAATAGAATAACAAATAAAACCGCCAATCTGTAAAAGTTTATTGGCACGTGCCGTTATAAAACCTAATTAAGCGATGTCATCAAAATGTGATTGTTTCTGTTCCTGTTTACGTTACGTGATGACAGACGCCCGTAAACAGCCTCGATTTCTATTAAACACGGAAAGCACTTGGGAATACACACTTTATTTTCAATATTTGTTTTCAGGTTTCACAATACCTACGCACGGAAATATCGAATAGTTTGTTTTTCGATGCGTTGAAATTTCATTCCTCTTTAATAAAGTACCCAGTTTATTGATAAAATATACCGAGCGATCCACAGTCATTAGCAGGGTACACTAGAGGTGGAAATTCTAGTTCCCTGGAAGGAAGTAGTTCCTTAGTTGTAGTTCTTCCAGAGGAATAGTTCCCGACTAACCTTGACATCCCCGTTGCTTGCTAATGAGTTTCGTTGTCAGTCAGAACTATTCACAGTATGATCTCTATAATTTTTATAAAGTACGAAATATAACGAGACGTGTAACTGCGTATGTTAAAAACATATAGGTAAGTTTTATTGTAGATAAAATAAAATAAAAAAGAAATTCAAATCTGACTTTAAAAAACTATATCACAAATCAATAGGAGCAAATAATATGAAAATTTTACGAAAAATTGAATTTTTCCTCAATTTCCTCCGTTTTATAAAATATTTCTTAATTTTAGGGACCTAAAGTGAAACATTCTTATAAAATATTCAAAGAACTAGTGATGGGCAAAACTGTTACTTTTAGATAACAGTTGAAACTGTTATAGTTATTTATAAAAAACAGCTTAAAATAATAGCTTAAAAAATAACAGGTTTCTTTATTTTATTGCTAAATATCTGAAAGAGTATGAGGCGGTCCCCGCCAGGCGTATTAACGCAGTTGCAAATTGCAACAATGACGTGCTCGGTGGTAGTATTTCCAGGGTGTCAAAACATTTCTAAATATCGATTGTTATCTAAAATACCTAAAAATGCCCGGTTTCTCAACATATAGCGTTATCGAGTCGATAACTATGAAGCACATAAATTTATCCAACCGATAACTTTATTTGGGTTTCCGAAGGACAGCCTGTCGAATGAAAATGAGGCAATAACTATCTAATAGACATTTTAGTTCTAGTATAAGTTGTAGGTGGCGCTAGCGTGTTTACAGATTTCGCTCGTTAAAGTAGGGTGCTTTTGTAAGAAATAGTGTAGATGTCGCTTTGTAGGCCAGCAGACCATTGACCTTATGTATGTCATTTGTCATTGTTTTCTTCATCTATGGTCATCGTTACTTGTCAGTTTGTGCTTGTCTCTTTACGTGTTTCTATTCCCAGCTGTTTCTAATAAATTTTCGATATGGAAAATAAAGAGAATAAACGTATAACAAGTTATATAGAAAAAGGTAATAAACAATTTCAGGTATTTTTACTTCAATAAAATTGCATTTTTTTAAACAACCGAGCAGTAGGAGTTGTTAAATGAGCAGTATATAAGCACTGAGGCTAGTAGAGATAAATTAGTAACTCGGTTCTAAATACTTTCCTCATGTAACTGTCCCCTTTGCAATTGAAATTATTTACTTACTAGCTTTATGTTAACTATGAAATATGTTTCAGATGTTATAATTTTTGAGTGCACTGCATCGAGTGATGATTTTCAGGAGAATAGTGAATTGCGAGAACGTCCAGATTGCACTACAAATACAGAGGCAGTTTTAAAAGGTAAAGAAATCAAAGAAAAAAAAAAGTATTAAACTACCCCAGTGGTGCTATTCTTGACGTCGTTCACAACTTATCCGCATTACATGTATTATTGTTATATCGTTATATGGCTTTCTCAAATATGCAAGTCATATTCGAAGATGCGAGTGGTCAAGAATAGGTATCCTGACCTGAAATGAAACCAACTACTCTTTTAGATATAATTTTTATATATTTATTTATATTTTAGATAATATATCACATGATATTAATCTTGATGTTCCTGATACTTCCAAGCTGCAACCAATCCCATCCGAAGCTGAAACAAATGTGACTATTCCTGAGGCTACACCAACACCCAGCAAAAAAAGAAAATTTATTTTGGCCGGAAACACGTCTGAAAAAAAAGAAACGCATTTAAATACACTGACAAATCGTTTAGTTAACCGGAAAAATTTTAAAGATGAAACCGACGCCAAAGTATTCAACAAAAAAAAATAAATATTTTAAATTTAGAAGAAATAATAAAAATAAAAATACAAATTTTGCAAGAAGACTTAAAAATTAAAAAAATTGAATCAAAATTAAAAGAAGATTTGTTAAAGAAATAATAACAATAAAATTGTAAATAATGTTTATACGTTGTTTTTTTTGAAGAAATAATAAAATTATAATATATAAATACATAATATTTTTTTTGGAAATTTCAAGTTCTTGAACCTTGTATTGATATATTAAATTCATTTTCTTGATTTCTTGACTTATAGACTAAATAATTATTCTTAAACGACATGAAAACATAACTCAGCGTTTTCGGAACGTAATGTCCCAAGAAAATTAATTTAAGAATACAATTTTTTTATGATACATACCTATCTGAAATGATTTTCAATTAAACTCCTTCTAAGCGCATTGCCTCCTGCATTGTGCTGAACATTAGGTAAAATGACATCTTCAACCAACTGTTCTTCTACAACACCCTCTTCAAAATAATCGTTTTTAACCAAAGCAATATTATGCAACACTGCTGTTGCCACAATCACTAGCAAACTGGTCTCCAATTTAGCTCGAAGGCCTAGAGAAAAACACGCAAACCTTCTTTTCCAAACTCCAAATGTGCGCTCTATGCAATTTCTAGTTTGAATATGAGCGGCATTATAGTTAGTCTCAGCTACAGTGTTTGGATTTAAAAGGGGTGTTAATAAATACTCTTTACAGCTATAAGCACTGTCACCAATATCCACCTTGATATTCCACAGCTTCCAATGAGGCACAAACTAAAGAAGCATTAAACATTGTGCTACCATGAGTTGATCCAGGCCATCAACAAACAATGTCCCTTATCATCGACTTCGAATCGCATACAGCTTGGACATTTATTGAGAAATACCCTTTCCTATTGCGAAAGATTTCTGCATTTTCTCCTCCAGGTGACTGTATAGGTACGTGTGACCCATCAATACAGCCAATGATATTAGGAAATATCCTTATATTGTAAAAGCCAGCTTTTACAAGTCTAATTTCATTCTCGGTTTGAGGCATCTGGATAAATTGTGGGACAAGTCTCGCAATCTATCTAAAAAATCTTCTAAAAGAAGAAACTAAAAATCAAAAACGTATCCACGACAATTTTCTATGGTAATTACGTCAGCTGTGGCAATAGACAAGACCGAATCCATCGTCATCGCGTTGTATTATATCTCGGATCTGCCGACTGAGTAGATTACCGTGAACTAGTCTTTTAATTAGTTCCTCTCAGTCCTTAAGGTCCGGGACAGGTAACATACGGGTTGGGACTCTCCACTCCCGTCTAGTATCGGGCTACAATCGCGCAGGCCGATCTGTACGTAAAGTAGTTCCTCTAGGTCCGAATCCGATAACATACGGCTGGCACTTCCCACTTCTGCCTAGCATCAGGTTACGATCGCGCTGCCCGATCCGTCGCCCTCGCATATTATTATTATATATCGGTCACAGTCTCGGATCCCGGAATAGGTCCTGAAAACTAATTCTTTGAGAAACCGGGAACTACTTTCATTCCGGGGTCGAAATAGTTCATTGGAACTAGTTTTTTCACGAACTACACCTCTAGGGCACACACGAAAGGTATTTTTCGAAAATTTGTCCTTTCGCCGATCAATCCTTCCTATTTACCCGCACGTTAGTGCTGTGTAACGGTAGAGGCCGCTTAACTGTTAGATCATTGATTGAAAGAATTGATTGAACTGATTTCATTTCCCTTTACGTCTGAAGTGCTGTACGGTGGAGCCCCCTACTCATTCTGCGGCCAACGCATAAAACACTCATTTTCTCTAATTCAGCTAGCAAAGGCATATAGAAAACGGTGTGAAACTGAAAGCGACAGTGTTGCTATATTAAAATGTGTAAAATGTGTAACATCTTTAATACGTTTGATGAAAATAACTTTGGATGAAAAATCCTCGTTTATGTATTTAAAATTTATTCGTGTTAAACATAGAATAAACAACAAAAATAAAAATTCTTTTATAAGTACTATTTTTTTTGTATGATGAAAAAAATTCGTTTAGATGGCTTGGAAATAACTAACCTAACCTAACCAAAGTATTAACTTTGGAATTTGTGAAATCGATATATTTTTTCAATGAAAAAATTGCTCTCTCTCTATTTTTTTACTGAAACCATAATGTTCAACATATAGTGGAAATGGGATATTTACATTACAAAACAAGGTTAAAAATTGAATGTAGTCGTTATAATTATTTTATTACTTCATAACGTAAACTTTTACGAATTTTAAGTCTAAACTAACTAATCTCTCATAATCCTTTAAAACAAAATATTTGCCAGTAAACATAATTTTAATAGCGTTATACGAGTAACAGAAATATTGAATTATATTTTGGTAAATTTTAATTTAATATTAATAATAACAGAAAATTAGTATGTAATTAGAATAATTATTATTAAATATATTCGGAGCACTCTATTTTATCAAAATATTATATCAATGTAAACAATAAATTTAGAGGCCCGTAAAATTGACACAAATTATTTTGTTTAAAGAAGATCTAATAACAAGTAAACTATAAACTATAAATATGAAAAACACAATTTAGGTTGAAACATGATTGAAACTAAATAAGAGAATCTAAAAAGTGTTTTAAGTGTGTATTCGTAGTTGACCAAAGATGAAAAAACAAACGATCTAGCTAGAAAAGGAGCGGACACTCCAGTAACTGGGCCAGCACAACTGTTCTCAAGTGGATACCAACTTAAAGCGCAACCTGGAAGACTCCATCCGTAACCAGGAATGGGAATACTTCAACGATCTAAGACACTCGAAGACATTTTCCAGGATTCACGACTACATTTAAGGAAGAATAATTTTCTGATTGTCACGGTTTTTTTAACAGGGTACTGTCTCCTCAATGAACACCTCAGAAGACTGAAGCTAAGAAACAACGGCAAATGCAAATTCTATGGAGAAAATAGGGAAACATCAGAACACCTGATTACTGAGTGCGCCGAGACGACAACCATTCGTGTTAGAAACTTTGGTACGCCTGATATCGGAGATAGAAAACTAACCTCTGTAAAGCTGTCTCAGATACTGGCTTTTGTCAAAGCGCTGAGACTGTATAATTAGTTATAACTAGGGATGGCAACGATATATCGATATATTAGGTATATCGATATATTTTCTAAAATATGTCGATTATATGTAGTAGATATTTATTGAACATAACATACAATCCAGCTTTGAAATTTGAGAATACAAATCTCGCTGATTTATCTTCTTCCAAATTTCATATAACAAAGTATGTTTCATGACTCTACCATGCGAAATGATAAAATGTAAAAAAATTATAAGTAAATTAATCTTATGATTTCGCTAAAACTAAAATCGATGCATCGTTACCTTTAAACGCAAATATCTTGAAACTGATTCACCATTTCTAACTAAACGAAGAGCACCTTTTTTACGTAAAAAAGCTGAAACTTTTTATATTATTTGTTGAAATTGCTGTATCTACAAGTACAAAAGAAGTACCACCAGCAGTACTCTCTACCCTAACAGAAAGTACCCTTCAAGAGCTGTTACAGATTTTATTTCACTATCGCCATTCGCTTTGGCATTAAAATATGTGCAAGGGTACCAAATTTCAGGAAAAATGGTTCAGCAATGTTCTTAAAAATAAACAAAATATATTATTTTTATTTACTCTTTCGAGAGCTGTAACTTCCTCGGGAAGCATGTAGTATCACCCACCGAACTTACATAAATACACTATTTTCTTGACATCCTGTATTAATTTGTATTTTGACAGCCTGTGTTAATAAAACATGTTTGAATTATGATATAATTAACCACTTTAAAAATGAAGATGTAATGATAAAAATATTTATAGGGAAGGTTTGTGGTATATTCCTTGAGAAATTAATAAAACAATTAATATAAAACCTTAGAATAAAACGCATTATCACATTCGAGGTCAAATTATATTTATAACAAAACGCCATGCATAAAGTTCAGTTTTCTATTTTTAACAGCTAAATATTTAACATTTCGATCTCGACATAGCTTTTCTATGATTATTTGTTTATAAATAGGGTTTTGCAAAAAGTTTATAGTAACAATATAATATACAAGTTTAAATCAATTACATTATTAATGGCTTTAACTAAAATTTGTTGTCAGTTGGTAGTATTTCTATAACTGAGTTTTAAATTTTTCAGCCCCAATAATGAAGGTTGAAAAAAAAAATAAAAATAATATTTATTAAATTTTGTATATCTAAATCTTGCCCAAAACCCCGTTTTTAACTTATTTAAAAAAATCGCCTTAACTAATCCGCATAAATCGGCAAATCAAATTTTGAGTGAACTACCTGGTGTCCTGCCTGGTGTATACAAAGGTAAGTCGGGCCGGGCCACCTTTGCTAAAAAAATATTTGCACTGGTCGACGAATGACTGGAAAAAGGTCCTCTTTTCAAAAACTATTTGATCCAAAGTATACCAAGGACACTGTAAAACATGGTGGTGGATCTTGCATGGTGTGGGGATGCTTCTCGGGCTATGACATGGGACCACTGCACGTAATAGAAGGAACAATGGATCGATTTATGTATTTGGACATCTTAAAGAAAGTGATGATTCCGTTTGCTAATGATAATTTGCCTTTAACCTGGATATTTCAGCAAGATAATGATCCAAAGCATAAACCGAAAGTCTTACAAGAATGGTTTTTGTCTGAACAAATTAGGATTATGGACTTTCCTGCCCAAATCCAGACCTTAACCCCATTGAAAACCTGTGGGAGGAACTAGATCACCGAATAAGACGAAGTTACATTAACAATTAGCAATAAAAACAATTTAATAAGAATTTTGAAAGAGGCCTGGAATTCCATTACCAGATACCATAAGAAAACTATTGGACTCCATGCCAAAGCGATGTCGTGAAGTTATAGCTAATCACGGTTACTCTACCTCTCATTATTAATCTGATTAGGTTAGCAACAACTATGTACTTGTAATTTTTATATTAATTTTTAGTTTCTCT